TTGAGCAAAGGCTTCACCTACCTGGGTTTTCTGATCTGACATGGCAGAGACCGTTATGTCATACAGAGACCACAGAGATAACACCACAGTTGCAGATGCAATCTCAAAGTGGCCCTGCAGCAATAAGCACTACATTGGTAGCACTCTTTATCCAGTCTCTTTTTAGCACTTGAATAAAGGTAGCTCTTATACTTAACTATGCAAACAGGCTGGCAATGGAGATTTTAATGCTGCTTTCAGCACGATTAAAAGAATAAGGTAGGATGATACTCTCTTTCCACTTACCCTTTCTCAAGTTTGAGAATGTCAGCTGTGGATTGTGATACATCTTGTATCATTCTAAGTGGGGCAACAGAGATAAGCTTATCAATTTAGAGGGTGCTGGCAATTCTGCTGAAGCCAGTGCAGCTCATGCCAGCTGAGTACTGAGTCCACTGTATACACCTTAAAACGCCTGTCTTAATGGTGAAGCCCCCAAACCTGTCTAAAATTACTAAACTAAAAGGTACTTTTTTTTTCAGAAAGCAACCAAACTGGAGTCAGTACTTGCACCTGCTGTAAGTAGACTTACTGCTCTGCAGTTAGCGGAGTGTTTGTGCAAGTTTAATGTATGATGTGTGGACCTTGCCTGTGACTTCATTCTTAAAATGGATTTTCACACAGAACTGTCATACTTAGAAATTTTCCAGCTTGCAGAGTGTGAAGTTAGGCCTATGCCTACGTTTTGCAGAAGCCATATTGCACATTTATTTTTGTCGTTTTCCATGTATTAGGGACTTCATACAGACACCTCTATTTTTTGTCCCATAGATATTTCTTGTTTTCTAGTTAAGTTGGCTGAACTTAGCTTAAATGTTTCTTCTGGTGAAAGGCTGTAATAACATTTCTTTCAGTGGCTCTTTGATTATTTTTTAACAACCCTGAAACGAGGTGACCAAATCTGAATCACGCATCTCATCATCTTGCAATGAATGCAGCATAATTTATGAGCACCTGAACAGCATTTCTCATCCTCAGAGCACTTTACAAATGCTGTTAAGAACCTTCTTCCATAACAGGTATTATCCTCCCTGTTGCAGAGAAAGAGAAGTTAACAAAGAGGACAAGTGACTTGCCCAGGGCCACACTGCAAAGTGGTGAGACCTAGGAATGAGTTTCTGCATTGACTCTTCTTTGCGCTTGAGATCTTTAAGTAGAAATTATCCAGAGTATTAACTTCTGGAATGCACAGCACAGCAGAAGTGTAAATACAACACCATGTTAAAGACCAGTCACGCGTGTTTTTGAGAGAGAGTTTGACAGCCAGTACTGTTCTGATCCCTGAAACTACACGTAGGTTGTATGTGACTCTCTGCCCCCAAATTGATTAGGTAGAGAAATCAAAATAATGTAAAGTGATGATTCACATTTACAGAAGGAAAACTCTGGGAAAGCAACTATGATGGGAACTAACTTCACATGCACACAGCATACGCTGTACAATTGGTGACCTGCTTGCAGCTGTTAAAATCCATCATATGAACAGAACTTCTGCAGAACTTCTCAGTGGTACTCCACCAAAAAATACTCCTACCACATCATAATGATACCATTGTAGATCCTTTTTGTTTGAACAGCAGCATTGTTTCCAAGCTATGTATCGTGATCATGGAGAAGTTTGAAAGAGGGTTCAGATAGGGTAAAGGGGAGTTTACACTATCCAGGAGACCACTGCCTACCTGTCACTGGTAAAAACTGCCGTTTACCCAGGGCATGGGGAATGAATAGTTACACAGCTCACTGCTATAGCCAGCTCTTACACTTCTGTCCTGAACTATCAAGGCTGATGTTGGCAATTAAAGATCATTAGCTTTTCCTAGCTAGTTTAGACATTAGCCAGTAAATAAAACTGCTTAATTCTCCTCCCTGGAGGTGCCCAAGTTGCTGCCAACTTGGAGAAGTGAGCCAAGTTTTACAATAATCAGAGGGTCCAAAACATAATGAGTACTTGTAGGGAGATTAAGAAAATACTGATGTAAAGGATTTCAGCACAAAGATTACATTGTCTTCCTTGCCTCTTCAGTATGCAGTTATGTAAGGCTTTATGAAATTAACTGTTTCACACAAAACAGCCTGGAAAAAGTAAAGCAAATGAAGAAGGGGTGTGTCCCTTCCCTTCCTCTTCAACACACACCTCTGCTAGCAGTCGGAAAGTAGCAACAAAGCAAGGCAGTTCTGCAGTGGCATTGCGTTAGTCCAAATGACAATGAGTGCGTACATTTCAGCAATGGCTTTGTTACGGTTTGATTTTGCTGTACAAAGTACTTCTGGTAGATGCAGCATTTAGAACTGGCTGTAAGTTTAGGTCAAAACACATGAAGGCTACGAACTGTGTTTTTAATGTGCTTAGCATGGTGCAAGCTGAGGAAATCAGGTACTAATGCACTTCAGATTATTAAAATCTTCCAAGTTCGTAACAGTTGCTCTGTTTGTATATAAATGCAAATTATTTTGACAGAAATTAATAATGAAGTTTGGTGGGTTTTTTTAAAAAACTCTATGTTGTATTTGTGGTTCTTGCTTCGTTTTTTGACAACCAACCAATGGGATGACTGGTGGAGGAACATTTGTGTAAACAGAAGCAGCAGCACTATGGTATTATCTATTTTTTGTGGTCATCACAAACAAACATCAGTGCAGGAAGATGTGCTTGGGGAGAACACAGGGTGCTGCCCAGAACATCATCACCAAGAGGCAGTGGGGATTTGCAGAGCAGGGGCAGCACTGCCGTGTTCAAGAGGTCAGCACAGGGGCCTGTGTCGCACCCAGCAGACCAGTGGATCTGCAAGCACCTTCCTCCCCTTGCCCAGGCTGGGGCCAACGGGAGACCAAGGCCTGGTCTGTCCCAGCTCCACTCGCCAGCACACCTCACTTTAAAGCACCTGCTTTACAGAACAGGGCTCGTAAAAATGGGAGGAGCAGCTGGGCCAGGAAGCCCAGTCCAACCCACCGCAACTCTGCACAAGCATAACCCTTCCTTTTTATCTCAAAAGCTTTGCCTCAGTCCCGTTTGACTCCCATTACTTTATTGGCAGCATAAATTCTTGCACAGGCCCCTTACACATACCATTTGCTTTCCAGTCTAGCTAACCCTTAAGCTTCCTGACAGACATAATGAACAATACAACTCCCTTGCTCTGAATACAGCTTGAGCTCACCCAAGGTTATAATGAAGTATACTAATCGTTGAACAAAACCACCTAGAAATTACATCTATCCTCCTAATCTGTGTCCACTCTTCGCTGCGCTAATGAGAAACTACTAAGTTACTTAATGTAGTTTTGCTCAGATTCAATAGCACCCATCTTTTAACCGACACCAGGAAAGGCCAGCTAGCTGGATACTGGTACCTTACAGCTCCTCACCTCAGAGTAACTGTGCACAACTGTAGCATGGCTCCCTGTTTTCTGGAACAGCACTAGTAGGAAGGCAGATCTGAAAACCCTCCTAAAAATCCACACCTGTACCTTAATTTGTCCCAGACCTGGCAGGGTAATCCCTCAGCCTCTCTGGCCTGAGCCTAGAGCAATACAAAGCCTACTGAACTCCAAGCTTGCTTTATAAAAAGTTTATTTTTGCTTAACACAAAACTGCCAAGAAACTTGTCCATTAGAAAATAGCAGCCAATTTGATATTTAATAAAGTACATCAGTTCACAGAAAGACCAGGGCAACTATGGAAAACAAAATAGTGAGTAGGTCTACACTTGCATATTCAATGTATTGGTCTTCTGTTTAACCTCACCAGGGCATGAAAGAGCTTTTATTTCATAGCACAAGCCTCTAATCTCTGCAACTCTCAAGTGAAAGACAATTTTAGAATCTTCACTTCTAAACTGAAACAAGTTTAAATATAAAACCAAATAAAACCTCCAGGAAAGTGTCTCACACTGCGTCATCTCAATATTTTTAATTTGCTGCAATATTCTGCAATAGATGCACATAAAAGCCCTGTAAAATGGGGAAGCCAGAGGCTTTCGCCCACATGGATAGGGAATTTGTGGCAGCTTTAAGCACATTGAAAAGCACAAGAGATGTCTGGGATTGTGACAAAGAGGTTTATAGCAATATTTCTGCTAAAATTATCTACAACAGAACACTACATGCACTTAGCAGTTTAACCAAGACATTAAAACCTGATGAATAAAGACAGTTCCTGCCTTAGAAATACTGTTTCAAGCTCCACACATATGACAAGAGATGTCATCTTTCGAACCACAGACTTTTTTTCCTAATAGCCACATATTAGCTGCCTTGCAGGATTTATATACGATACATGCACATGTACGACATCAGAAACTAGTTGTTAATATTTGAAGTTAAGTAAATAATAATGAATAATAAAATTAATTTAATCACACGCCCACACACACCCTTAATCACACACAAAACCTTTCAGTGGCCAGCTCTGTTAAAAGGTGTATTTAGGCATAGGTGTCTCATTGTCCCAATTAAGATATGATTTTGGTAAACTTACAAAAAATTATTTTTGTATTTGTCATCCAGTACTGCTGTATCTTCATGTTCTCACTGCAGCAGCTTTATGAGGTACCGTCGTAACCAGGCACTGCATTCCTTCTTAATCTCTGAAGACTAAAATACCTAGAATCTAGGAGCACTCTTTTGAACTGTGTTCCCAAACAGATTTTAAAACACCTCTTCAAGCTCCAAGCTGAAATTGCTTCTACTTTCAGAAACCAGAGTATCCTCTCAGGGACACAGATGAAAAAATCCAGACCTTTAGCTCCCTTCTTACAGCAATACTTCCAATTCTACACAAAAGCGTAATGGCTCACTCGTGAGCAACTGTCACAAGGGGGGAATAAAATGTATGTAGCAGGATACCACTGGCAGCATGGATGTTAAGGATCTTTAAAGGTATTGCAAGAAAAAGGAACAACGCTGTTTGTGTTGTGAGAGATTCTTGATTTATGATTAAATATATTTTGGAACGCAACAGCATTTATAGCAAACTTTTATTCAATAGTTTAAAAAGTGTATGGAAAACTTCCATGAACAAAGAGTTACTCAATGGAAAATACCTTCTTTCCCCCCTTAAAAAGTTCTTCTGCAAGAACATCCATTAAATGCATTTTCCTACAGTAACTACTTTTAAAATGCAGGGGTATTTTGGGATTTCTTGTATACATATATAGCATTTCCATAGTTAAGAAGCTATTGTCCTGAGCAGTGTACGAAGAGACATTATTTAAACTACCTAGTTACAGGACATTTATATAATTGACAACAAGCACAGAACAATTTATAGACTTTAAACATTTAATGTGCCTTTTCATCAAGGAAGGCAAATGATAACTGTAGGACTGCTTAACACTGTGAGTGTCAATTTAGTATCATGTATTCAGATCTGCAGTATAAAGACACGCACAAAACATTTTTGTGGAGTACATTTTGTTACAATAAACCAAGCTTGTATTCCATCATCATGTGTGGTTCTCCCATAACCTCACTCTGTGAAGGATCTGGAAAAAAAGAAGTCAACAGCATGAGGCTTTTACCAAGCTACAAAGACCAGCAATAACTATGAACGTGACCACTTTTTTTTTTTCCACTCTAATGCTTAGTGCAACAGTTACCTGATTGACTTTTGACAGTGTTGCATGATGCAGGTCTGTAACTCATAAGCCTCTATCCAAAGCAATGATTAGGTAACAGATACATCTATGGTGGAACAGTGTTTCATAAGGACACCCCGCCCAACACCTGCTTCAAGTAAAACCAACCAGTTCTACACAAGCACAGTCTCTTACAGCTTGAATCTCAAGGCTGACAGTTTTGTGTTTAACAAAACTCAAGTCTGACTGCAGCGTTTCCTCATAGGTGCTCCACATCTCTTTCCAGTGCAACTTCTCTGCACTCCTCCCTTCTGTTAGTTGGGACACACTCGTTCTTTCTCTTCTCCACCTATCCACCTAGTTCCACAGAAATTCTATGCCCCTAAATATCTCTGAGATTTCCTCCATTCTGTAAAGTATAGTTGACATTAGCCACTGTACTCAAAGGTTATCAAGGAATGTGCAAGGACCAGAGGCACCAATACTGACAGTATGAACTTCATTTCCATACAAAAAATAAAAATTAAAAAAAAATCAAGGCCAGAAAAAAGGCTGTGACTGCACTTTGGAAAACACACACCTTTCTTTATGGGTGTATCGGAGTGTTTTCCTTCTGTAACAGCTTGTTGTGAGCCATCATAAATAACCAAATAAATTATGTTTGACATTGCTCTATCCCCTGAATCACAATAGCCTAAGATTTCTCCCCTTGCTCCTCATAAATCCATCCCAGAAAACAATCCCAGAATTACCTCATGCCTCTAGATTCCCGCTTACCCCTCCATTATTTCCAGTTTCCTGTCTCCCTTGCTCTTCCCATTCTCCAAACCCACCTCAAAATACCCTCTGCTTCTTTCCACATGCTTAACTAGAAGCTTAGCTAGAAAGAAGTGTTGTTTGGTTTTTGTTTTTTTTTTTTTAAATTATTTTTCCAGGTTTATTCTATTCCACACAAACCAACTATCAGTCAGTCACCACACAACTGCAAACTGTTGAGTTAATTTGAGGGAGCCTTCTCACTGCCACATCTCTGGTTCATTAGTTCAGTATCTTTTCTCTAGCCTTTCCTTCTTTCTAATTATAGAACTTTATAAAAACACATATCTTTGTAAGCTCCACCTGCCAAAATCTGCACAATTTGTTCAAAAGTTTCTGGGGAAACTGTACAATCTTCTATGCCGTTAGAAACCCAGCCTACAAGCAAATACTGGCTTACTCAATATTTCAGAGTGATTTCCACACAACTAGCAGCTGAACTGCCTTTATTTCTCCTTCCCCCAGTGCTTCTTTACCTTTAAGAATTCATTTTTTTTTTTGTATTTTGTGCATTTCTCTTACTCTGTAGAGGCAAAGAACTTCACAGTTCCCAAATTTTACCTTTAAATGTTTCCATAACATCCAAAACAGAATGTATTTACCATTAAGGATATCCTCAAAACTGATGCATTCATCATTTCCCCTCAGAGTATCCAGTGCTATGTTTGAGCTGTGAAGAAATGGGAAACGCTGGACCTGTAAAAATACAACAAGAGTTCAATTTTCTGTAAGCCTGAAACTGAGGGGGTTTATATTTGGATTTCTCATTCTGAAGCAACTGAGGAAAGCAACAGGCAAAGTCACTTCTTCCTTCAAAAATGATAAAATAAGAGAACTACTGGCACACATAGAGAGCAAAACCTACCCAATATCACCATCTTCTATTGTTTATCTCTGTCTTGAAAAGAACGGCCTTTCACTAGATTCATAGCTTTCACTACAGTGTAGCTACTACAGCAAATAGTGTAGTTTAAAAAAGAAGGAAGGTTTTTTTTTCTCCTTTGCTGAAACGTAAAGCTGGGGAGGCTCACTGCAACAAACACAGCTACACCCTGAGACAAGTATCAAGCGATGGACATACACTGCAGTGTTTGGAAACCACATTCTGAGTTTCCTACATCTCTGACATAAGTCAGGACTATAAACGAAATAGCTATACTGATTTTCACAGCTAAACATAATCTCCCTTGCAATTAATTTAAATCATAATTATTTCTCTGATCCCCACCAATTCTTAAGCTTCACTCACAGTTACTTTCAACACTCTTCTGTACCCTTCACCCACAGTATTACAGAAGAATTTCAAGAGGTACATGCAGCATTCAGATCCTAAATATCTTGAGAACAGCATATCCGTACTTTCAATTGCATTCACTACTAACAGTGATGCTTCAGTTATAGCATGAACGTATTTTACAACCATAAAATTATGACATAGCTATCTCTTTAGACCCAAAATATGTCAAAGAATTGCTACTGGTACAATTGTCAGAAGTTCAAATACAGTAAATATTTTAGTAAAGCAAAATGAAACCACAAGAGAACTTACATATCTAACATGAAGCTGAGAGTAAAAGAAATTCCATCACCGTTATTTCCCCCACTCACCCCTCAGGAACACCTGTGGAGACACACTAACAGGATATCCTCACCTGCCCCATATTCTGCTATGTGCTAAACTAAGTTAGGAAAACGATTTTTCCCTCAAGACAGCACAGCTGTGATCATACCCAGCTGAGTTTCATACATCCTGCCCAACTTTCACATCTTCAGGACCAGTAATTTCTGCAGCTCACTGTGGTTCAGTAGCACCTAATCACTGGAAGGGAGTATAAAATTGCTCCAACTCCCTTGTAAAAACAACTCTTAAGAGCTTGACAACCTTCAACAAGCCAAAAAGAGTTTACTAGGACCAACGAGCTTTCTATGTGTCCTAAGGGACAAAGTCAGCCTCCTTCCAGTTACTGTCCATCCTAGGAGATAAGAAGGAAAAGGATACAGACTCAGCTTCCTAATTAAGCGTTAAAACCTTTGAACTTAAGTCCCTGTAGACCGCCCCAATCTTACAAGAAAGGCTGCAGAACAGTCACAAGCACATACCAAATTCTCTGCTTCAGGTTTCACGTTACCTCTGCCTCCACTCCCAAATCACTATCTGCTGCAGACCCCTAAGTCTCTTTGCCCTACAGATGCAGATTCCTTCCTATGAAGATCTTATGTTCTACAGAGGAGAGCATTCATTTTAGGAACTAATACTCAATTCCTCCTGCTTTTCTCTGAAGGCTTACAGGAACGCTAGCCCACAGAAAAGCCAGAGCAGTGGCCACTTCACCAAGCAACCAGTTAAAGAACAGCAGAGGAAAGGCTTTAGCATATTGACTGTTCTGGAAGCTATTAATTGTAATGTTTGGTTGGTTGGTTTTAATAAAATCAGTTCAGTGAAAGAATTTTTTGGAAACATAAGGTTTTCAACAAAGATGTCTCCCTGAAAGCACGTTCCGCAATAAACATTTTTTCAAGTGGTTTAAGTTATAGCAGTTGGATAAAAACACCTACCTGTTTCACTGCTCTGAATTCCATCTGCAGCTTCAAAGGTGCGTGGATTCCTTGAATGTTTCTCAGCGTGGCAAAGTTTGTTTTATCTTGATTTAGCTGGAACTATCACAAACAACATTGATTTTTATTTTAGAAAAAGTTATTTTCAAGTACAGCCATAGAAGAGATTTGTGACACCATACTTAATGAACATGCTTATTAAATTTATACATAAAAATTCAGTGATTCCATTGTATGTGTCTCAAATGTACCCAAAAGACAGTGATGCAGTAATATTGGTTTTATGAAACTGAAATTGCTTTTTTCTGGATTTTATTCCAAATCAATAGTAGCAATTTTATTTTATTATTTTTGACAATCAGGACATGTAACACCACCAAGTGGTGTAGCTTTGCACTACTTTATGTTACTACAATATTGTCAAGAATTGGAAGCTAAGTCTGGTTTAAAGTAAGAACACAAGCTTGAAAGCCACAATTGATGTTATTGTTACCGATCAAAGACTACTTGAAAACATTTTAAATGCTTCTTTTCTGATCAAGTAGAAAGATAGAGCTACATATATACTCCATTTGACTCTGAAAAGCAAAAGAAAGCTCCGTATTTTACCAACTACTATAAAACTGAGCAGTAAGATAGAGAAAATCTATTTAGTAGAGGATTCTTTTAATGAAAAAGCTGACTCATGAATGCTGAAGTACACAAAAGTAACTTGTGCTCAATGTTAAACTTAAGCTTGAGTAATCCAGTCTCAAATCTGGTTTTTACAGTAGCAACTATATGCCTTCAATGTTGACACAATACAGTATTGTAAAGTAAAACAAAAAAATCTCTTATTTTAAAACCTGTACTCATTATTGTGACAAAAGCCCACTAGTACGAGAATATTATCCCACTGACACAAAGGGATCTCAAAAAACCAACAGGAAACCACAAGTCAAAGACATAACATGCATTTCCTTCATCATAACAACCTATATTGAATGCTCTGCAAAAGTTTGCAGAAAATACAATTTATATGCCTCAATCCAATCTTCCAATTCTGGTCAAATTATTTCTCCATTTCTTTTATTTTATAAAGGCAGAGGTCCTCATCTGGGTAGCAGAAAGATTTGGTTTCTACTAGTGGTACCCAAATAATCTACCATTTAAGGCTGTAAAAAAATCCCATAACTATCTGAGGCTAAGATAAGTCTTCTCCCATTCAAATGTACATAAAAGCAATTCTTAAATAAATCAGCCATAAACTTACAAAAAACCTAACCAAACAATATGTGGAAAAAACAATGTAAAAGCTTCACATACTTCCTAGGGGATCACATTGTCTGTTTTAATTATTTCTGTGCATTTTTTTTTCTCTCTAGCATGTAATCTTTTAATTACGCAGGTTTTATACAGTAAGAACAGAGATAAAAACTAAGGTATAGCACTCAGTTGTAAAAAGAAAAAAAAAAACAAATGACAAATAGCTCTGAAACATTTATAGTATTTATAAAAATAAGCTCATGATGTTGGCATCACATTGACATCATCCTTTCAACTCAAGGCAACACCAGCACCGGTTAGAATTAGAATATATTTGACATTACATTCAGACCGCGTCACGATGATTAGCTTAGCCTTTTGGAACACTCTATCCACATACTGCCGTTGCTTCAGGACGTTTTATTACACCAAATCTTCTGTGCTGACAAGACAGGCACCAGAGACGAGATTCAGCTCAACCACCTATTTAGCCAAGGCTGTCAGTCTGGTCTCCCTTTACCTTCAGCCTATGGTCCACAGACCACTCTTACCTGGCCTGCGGGCGATGACTCAGACGGACAAGACTGAATACACTTATGACAAACCATACGTGTAAAATTTCTCGATGGGATCAAATAATTTAACGAAAAGGACTTATGGGTTCATAGACTGAAAGTCTGAAAATGTAGATATATGGTAAACTTACTGACAAAACAGTTCACTGCCTTCAGAGGTGACCAGTGTGCCCCCCGCGCAACTACAGAGGCTGCATATAAAACTAGCTTAACTTTTAGATGACCAAACCTAAGTAAATCCCTACTTGGAAACCCATTTACATACTCGAGGAGGAGAGAGCACACGTGGGAGGCTAACATTAAACACATTTGCCAACAACATTATTTGTATAACTAAAACGTCACTATTGTTGAACATCTTTATTCTGTTAAAGGCAAGACCCTGCTCATTACTTGTTACAGCACAAAGCAGTCCCAGTAACCACATCGTTAATTTAAACTTCCTAATTAGTCAGGAGTGAAGACAGCTACATCTGATGTTATACTTACATTTTTTTCTGACAACTCCAGTGGGTGGCTGGGCAACAATTCATTTTTCACACTTGTAAAGCTAGAAATACAAGTAAAAACATTGAACTTCAAATTAACCAGCATATAACCTTTTAAGTTCCATTCCAAAACTACTCTCAGATACAAACATCAGCCCATAGAGACACACCATTAGGACAGTTTGAACCACCAAAAAAAAACACCTTAATACACAGAGCAAATAAGACCTCTAACTACAGCACTACCAGAAGAAAAAAAAAAATCTCTATTTCAGGCATCCTTTTATGTTTGACAACACAGAACAACAGCTTTTCTTCCTTGATCCCCTTCAGGAATAGAGAAAAATATTAATAAATGAAAACATCATATATTTAATTATGTCCAAGCTACATGGTATCTGATTTTAGAAGTCTCCAAACTTTTGCAACTGAATATTGTACGCACCTTCCCTGCTACTCACAGCTGTATTACCCACATTTTAAACTCCATGTGCTTATTTTAGATTCATTTCCAAGACACATAGTTTTGCACTCACGTAAAATGGCCAAACCCAAAAATATTATTTTTACGTTTTGTACCAAAGCTGAAATTACTGTTTCCCACAGTGGTATGGCACACTCACGTACGTGCATATTAAAACGAGCATATATTTCATAATTACTAACACTTTGCCATCTCTTTTCTAAAGAGCAGTACTACACAGGCAAAAGTCAATTAATGTTATCTGCTCCTTGAACTGATGTTTCACAGAAAATTCACACTTGAAAGAATCTGATAAATTTGCACTTTAGGCCATAGCTTTTGTGTTCCAAGAACCTTTTTAAAAAAACACTTAACCCATACTGTCTTCCTATGTCTGAAGTTCAATTTCAATATTGGCTATGGCACAATTCAACAAGAAAAAGTAACGCGTACCCTCTGCGCAGAAGATCATGACCTTCAAATGGTCCTGAAGCTGAAAATTCAGTAACTGGGATACTATCCTTCAACAGAGAAGCAGCACCTCTGGAATTCTGGAATAAAAAAGGGAGGATTACTTTAACAGAACCAGACCCCTCTCCTATGGGCCACCAGGCCAGACAAATGAAAAAGTGCTCCAAGACTCCTTAAACAACTCGTATACAAGCTCTAAACTTCAGAGTCTCTTTCTAAAACCCAACACCCAAACACAAAACCCCACAGAATTAGAATCTTCTAGAGTGTGGTAACAGTTAAAGGTATCGGTAACACTTTTTTTTTGATCTGCTGAAACACTTAAACTTGCAATTACACCTTGTTCATTCCCACCCTGAGCTGCAGGGATGGAAAGGAAGGTGGCAGGCCACGCTCAGCTGAGCATGTCTGAGCATAGAACTTGCCTGGACATTCCTTCATTTACTTCAATACAGATACAATCAAGTAAGATCAAATTGATTTCATCCACGATTTAAGGCTGCCATAAAGAGGACAAGGTGTACTCAAGTTGTCTAGCGTGCCAGTCAACTGCAAGAGCAAAGAGAAAACAGTAACTTGTAGCAGAAGACCAGAAAAACACACCTCTGCGAGCTTATTAAGTAAAGCCATCTTAACCCAGCCCACAAATTTCATTTCATTTCAAAACCTGACTGATTTTATTGAAATGACTTTAGGATTGTCCACACAAATTGCTCCACCAATAGGTCAACGTATACTAAGTTCTGGAAGGTGACAGCAATGATCCCTGGAAAGCGCCAGTGATGAGCTGCTCAGTGCAGGAGTTTCCTCCAGCAGCACTGTCAGAGCCAAGAGAAAATGCATGCTTAGAGCTAAGGTCTTTTGTATCAACGTGTAACTGCCAAGAACCTAACAGCTATTAGAAAACCCTACGACACCTGTTATTACATAGATGTAACACACTCAACACTGCCCAGGCCATTCTGAGATCGCTGTAAGCGAAAGCATTACAGCCATGCATGACCTGGAAGACGCGACAAGAGGGAAGATCAAACTGAAAGCTAAACGTAAAAAGAAAGAAAACCATTAAATACTCCCAAAACCCAACGCGCTCAAGTCCCACCAACGCCCGGTCCGTCTTAGGCGGCCACACCACCACCACCCACCACAGCGGCCGGGGGCAC